TCATCTACGCTGCTAACCTATTGACGCCCGAGGATCACGCCGGACATCGCGTCTTCGACGCCAGCAAAAGTGCCGCGATATTATGCGAAGATTATATATTCCTACCGCCAACGCTAATATTAATATATATATATATATATATATATTAATATTTATACGTATATATTAATATTCATTTATATATTCCTACAGCCGACGCCTCTGCTGCCGTATATGCCTCGTGTATAATGTTCCCTCCGCCATGCCCGCCCACATAAACACGGCTATACCTCATGCATGATACGTTTACGTACTTAAGTCCCTTTAAATATATATATATTCTAATTACTATTAAAACTTATATATTAATACACTTTATTCTCATTAAGAGATATGTAGTGTATTCATTCCGATTACGGAGGATGATTCTCGTATCGTTATTTTTCGTCACTACCTCCACGTTACGCGCCTGCTGCTTTCCTTGGATGTGGTAGCCGTTTCTTAGACTCCCTCTCCGGAATCGAACCCTTATTTTCCGTTACCCGTTACAACCATGATATTGATATTAACTACTATTATGACATGAAACTAAATAGTGAAAAATAAATATAGTTTAAAAAAACTAAAAAACACGCTTTTAAAGCACATCGAACTAAAAAGTTAAAAATAATTTTTAAAATTAACTTAAAACAATAATGAACGAAAAATACTAGTATTATTGTGAAAAAAAGCGTGGGTGCTTTATGCCATATTTTTTGTATATTGAGCGCCTGACGCTTTTTTTCACAATAANAGGTGCTCAATATACAAAAAATATGGCATAAAGCACCCACGCTTTTTTTCACAATAATACTAGTATTTTTCGTTCATTATTGTTTTAAGTTAATTTTAAAAATTATTTTTAACTTTTTAGTTCGATGTGCTTTAAAAGCGTGTTTTTTAGTTTTTTTAAACTGTATTTATTCTTTTTTATATTTATTTCATATCTTACGTGTTTTTTATCTTTATCTAGTTCATTGGTCTTAGCCGATGTATTTTTGATTATTATATCATTAGAAGTCTTTATTGATGCAGCTTTTTTTTCAAAAAAAGATATTTTATTCTTTATTCCTTAAAACATATTAATAATTTTTATCATTTTTTTTGTTTTTATTATATTATGGCCAAGTGGGTTAAATATAAATGCATATCCTTTAATTTTTTTACTTATGTTCAAACATAAGTACATTAATACAAATGATTATTACTAGATTATTAGAGATTAATTACAGGTTAATTTATTTAAGTAAGTTTTTTAAGTTGACTTCAGCTCTTATGAATTTTTATCTTCATCTTTAATAGTAGAATAAAAATAAATATTAATAAAAGTTATGGCAGTTTATAGTTATTTATAGTACATGGTTACAATGTGCTATTTATGATTTTAATTAATAAATCAAATGAAATGACATGTATTAAAATATAACATGTTAATGTTATATATGTAAATGTCAAAATAATTTATGTTCTATTCATCTGTATTGATCTCTGTGTTTCATGCTTATTTATCAATAAACAATTATACTAAAAATTCGACAGTGACGATTTTTGGGGGTAAAAAAATATTATAAAAAGCCAGAGCAAACCCTTGCTCCTGGCTGTTCATTTCATGCTCTGTATTGGGCTGTTCTTTTCGTGGTCCGTATTGCGCTGTTCATTTCATGCTCCTCATTAAGTTGTGCGAACGTCGTAATCGTCATTGTCGAAATTTTATATGTTAATTTGTGAACTAAAACTCTGAATTTGTGTATTTTATTTATCATTTTCACCGATATCACCACTAAGGATAATTATAAGAACCAGAGAATTTACCAGGTAAAATTTTTTTACATCGTTATTTTATGACCCTCGAATTACACCCTGAATCAAAAGTAACTCTCACCCATCATTTTTTAACAACACAATAATAATCATTCTAACCTTTTTTCCTCTAATTATAATAATTTTATTTTTTATTATATTTTTGAGTTACGACAATAATAAGTATGTTTGTATAAAAAACATATATTAATTGTATAAAAGAAACAGGAAATAATTAACAATGTGTAATAGTAATACCTTAGACGTAAGATAATGATTAATGTGCAAGATATTATGAAACAAACGGTAGAACATTTTGAAATGCAGATCATTATTACTGAAAATGCAATAATGTGTAATAAATTACTATAAAACGATTAATAAAGAAATATTTGTAGCGTCGGTGATCACTTCATGTCTTTGAAAATATTATCCAACTTAATATAAATAGCCCAAAATAATAGGCATTCGGGCTCAAATATTACTCTGATGATGGTCAGAATACTCTTACTTGGTCAGTTGTGCTCAATCACTCCAAAAGGCATTATTGTTTTTTTTTTTTCAAATAATTTGTCTATATTTAAGTTTTATGGTATGATCCTATGGGAGGGGGTTATAAACTCCTTATTATCCCCCTTTTACAAAAAAAAAATTGATTGAAGTGTTAGTTATAAATATTTTCAGGGAGAATTTTTGCAACTTTTTAAGTAATATGTATATTAAAAGGAAGGGGTCTGCCCTTTCCAAAAAACAAATGAAATAACAATGACATGATAAATTGAGATAAAAAAATACTTTAAGATAATGGTTATAAAAGTATTATCCATGTGTGATGTTAAGTGTCGTGTACATTATATTTAAAATTAAAATTAAATAGATAATAAAAAGAAATTCTTATTCAAGCAAGAGCTCCATTGAATGAATCTGCGTCAACCATTTTGCATATTAAAGTTATTACAGCAAATTTTTAATGGACGTATTTATTTTGATTTGTTTTGTCATTTAAGCCAAGCGGATTCCTTTGCTGTTTGGACATTCGTCATTTAATTTAACTATTAATTCTGTGAAAAATAAATACATTTATTTAATAAATCATAAATTACTGTAACAAAACTTCTTTTTTTTAACTTGAAAAAAATGTTATTGTTATTATACTTTACTTAAATTTACTGGTTGTTTTTAATGTGTTATTATGATTTTACGATTTCATGTAATTTTCTAACTAATGGAACAATTATGAAAATTATGTTCAAAAAAGCTATTGTAATTTGAAGCTCAAAGATAATATATGTATGTTCGAAAAGAACATTTATCGACTTAAGACCTAAATTTTTTACCGAGTACATCTTTAAAACTTTTAACTTTCAAAGACCCACAAAAATTTTGTTAAAATCCGCTGGGTTTGAACAACTGCAAAAGTTTTTAGCAATCCAACTAACAAGCTCCAAAAATATTATTTTAAGAGAAATTGAATGACTAATAAGGTGGAACTAAATATTGAAAATATTGCTAATTAATTATTAATAGAAAAAAAAAGTTACAGTTTAGTCTCCTGATTTAAATCTTTTCCTGAAAATAAAGATATTAAAAACCTAAGACCCAGAGAGATACATAATATCGCCAGAAAGACAAGTATTTTTGGCCATCTGTAGGGGGTGACTTGATAGTCCACCCTTATACAATGATAGATAATAATACTTTGGTAATAACACTTAGGTGTGTAAACCGAATCAAGACAATTCGGTATGAGGTGTGCATAATGGACCAATAGGTCATGAGTGCATGGGCATTATGTCACCTCACTTATAACTAAAATTAGTCTCCTCATTATGTGGAAAATTTTTTTTTTTTTTAATATCTTTAGTTTTTTCGTTTTTGTCACTTATTTTTTAATCTATACTATTTTCAGGAAAAATTATAGAACTAAATGTGAACAATAAAAAATGTTAAACCAGCCAGCCATTTGGGGTAATCGAACCCGCTACTTCCCTTAGATGCAACTCTGATGTTCCAGAATCTGTTACTGGGAGGATTTTTTTTTCATACAAACTAAAATTAAAAAGCAGTATATATTACTTTTTTCTTTATTGTTATACAAAAATTATTTTTTGAAGGGGAAATATTAAATTTGCCACCCAAAAAATTTTACCATATATGCTTATGATTGTACCATATTAAATTAATGATAAGTTCAACCATCTAGTAATATTTTAATAATTATCACTATTAAAAAAAAGTCAGATTTTACTGTTTCAAAACTTCTACTTTCTATGTTAATGAGTTGTAATTATTAAAATTAAATATTAAAATAAAATGAAAAGTTCACAATTTCTAAACATAGCCCTGTTCTCCATTATTGTAATAATTTAATATTTATAAATAGAACATCTTAAAATACTATGATAAATAAAATGATACGATAACACATAAAATGTCTTTAGTAAACAGGGTTGTAGTAATGTTTTAAACGTGTTTAAAACAACCAAAATTTCAAAATTCATATTCGTCTATAGAACGTTTTATCTATTTCTTTAAAAACCCTATTTGTATATCCTCTTTCATGTAATGTCATATAAGCTTCACGAATAATCATTCGTTTAATTTTAATCCTAGTTTTTGTGTCTATTTGATAATCAATCATTGAATGAAGTAGCTAGCTGATAATTGTATATGTTTAAAAGTACTTTTTTATCTACAAAACATTATTCATATTTCAGGATTTTTACGAAATTTAATTATTTGAATTTTAAAACATAAAATGACAGCCTTGGATTATATTAATTTGGGTCCTGATGCCCAATTTTTTTACCCAAAGTGAAGATTTTTATTTTTGCATAAAATTTCTTTCATAACTAAAGATAATTTAATTATAAATTTCATTTTTATTTAATAAATCTTATCGTATTGATCTTAAACACTTACTTATTTCGTGTTCACAGTTATATTTATCCAGTACACATTTGTTTCCAAAGCTTAAGTTTATTTTATCGCCATCAGATCCACAAATTGGTTTGTAGTCAGTTGTGCAGACTATGTTACATTTGTTAAACGTAGACATCGTAGTTGACGGAAAAATTGTAGACGATGGGAAAATTGTAGACGATGGAAAAATTGTAGTTGAGGAAGTAATCTTCTTTAGTTTGGAATTAGTGCCATCATTTTTATCATTAGCTGGAGCACCGTTCACTAACATAACAGCAGCTAAATCTACATGTTTCAAATTAAAAAGTTACGTTACTAAACTATACTAGACAAACTTCAATAAGACGCATAAACTACTTAATCTTAATTAGCTATTAAAATTTGATTTGATATAGCTAACTGATTAATCAATAGTGGTAATGTCAAATTAAGATAACAAAATATTTAAACTCTATTATTTTATTGGACTAACTAAAGTATTTATTTTATATTTATTTTTGATAAATAAGTTTGTTAAACATTTTAGTTCATAAAAATGTATACATACAATTTATTGTATACAAAATCTAGATAATATTATTTATAGCTTACCGAATAGGAATATTAGTGTTAATGATTTCATATTAGTCGTTCAGTAATGCTCAGTGTCGAGTAAGCGAATAATTTTGTAATAGTTTGATTATCGGATGAAGAGTATTAGTTCTTATATAGACAATTCTCCAACTCATCTAAACATACATAAATATCTTTGTAATGATCCGATTATTTTTTTCTATTATATTTCATCATTTCTAAAACACATTATCTCTGACGCATATTAGTATCATAATGAGTAATCCTTTATCTTTTTAAGAACCTATTATCTTTTATTTCTCTAAGTAAATAAAATAAGTTAAAATAGTACTTCTAATTAACCTGTAATGAATTAATTAGAATTACAGTAGCTTTAAAACCATACTTTACATTAACTTTTAGTATGATCTTTTTCACGAATTAATATCCAGATAATAATTGTTAGATTATAAATCTTATAATCTATAATTTATAGATAATAAATCTTAGATTTTAGGGTATATAAACCTATGTAAAATACCAATATTTTGTAAAACAAAATCAGATAAAAAAACATGCATGATTAATCATAGTGATTAAAATCACTATCATAAAAAACGCTTCGATGCAAATCTTTAGATAGTGTTTATTTTAAAAAATTGGTGGATTATTCTAAAATCTACATGATCTGTTATTTCCTTATTTGTATCCTGATTAAAATAAAGTATGTCGAATAAAAAAGGGATATAAATCTTATTTCTCATAAAAAAATAATGTTGATCCATACACTTCTCAATATGTTATAGCATTATAAAGTTAAAAATGTAAAAAATAAAATCGAGAATTTTCACACAAAAATACCATTCAGTAGCCGTTTTCACCGTGAAGACAAAATAAAATCTGAAATTTTTTTTTCATAATAAAGTGCATTACATTAGCTTTAATTTAAGATATATATAAAAGTTTCAGACTTTCCGGAACACTTTCAAAAGTTAAGTTGAAAAAGTAAATTTTTTGTTAAAAAAGTTGTCATCTTAAATATTATAAAAAAAATATACCAAATGATAGGTAAAGACATCAAGCATCTATAAAAAAAATTTTATTGATTTGTTCATTTTTAGGAAAGTTATGGCAGTTTTAAGTAAAAAAAATTTCGAAAATTAGCGATTTTTAAATTTGTAATTTTTTTTGAGGTTTCTCCCATTTACGGGGAACGATGGAATTTTTTTCAATTTTTGAGGGTAATGACTTCGACTATATACGATTTGTGATCTTTTGACGTATCGTTGAAAGAAATAGGTTCGGTGAAAGCTAAGAAAAAGTGGTAACAGACACAAATAAAAAACACATTATAGTAAAACTAATACCTTTTCAGCTTCGCATCGAAGCTAAAATGTATTTATAAGTAATTCAATAATAACATTGTGTTCATTAAATTTATTAATTGCATTAATTTTAATTAAATAAAATTGTTGATTATACAAATACTTCTATGACCAATTTTTTTCTCAATCAATATTGAAAGTACTTGTATAAATGAAGTGATGCATTTCAAGAGGTATACATACCTGGGTCTAAGTTATTCTTTTGTATACTCCTATAAAGTTACCACATTTTCGATAAAATATTGGTGGTAAATCAAATAATGTGACCATTTAAGTGCTAAAGTTAACAGTAGTTATCATAAATAAATTTAAATAATTTAATGAACTGTTATTAATATATTTAAATATTTTAAGTACTACTTAGAAATAGTTGTATTGGATAAAATAAATATTTATATTAAACATTAATAGCATCATTAAACAACTAAATAAACTATTAATTTCAATAATTTTTATTTATCTTAATTATTTCGCTTCGTGTAGGATAGACTGGGGGAACTATGGTCAGTGGGTATTACCGGTCACCTCACTATCTAATAAACCCATGCATTTAAAATTATGTTGACCATTTGTATAGATTAAGAATAATAAAAAAAAAACCTTATACTTATTAGAACGATATTATTAAAAAACGTTTTCACGTTTAAACGTGTGAAAATAGTTTTCAGCGTTTCTATCTAAAAAAAAATTTTTAAAAAATTTAATTTAAGGTAAGCAAATTATTATATTTCATAATTAATTAATAAATAATTAATAACGATTATTAATAATTTATAATTTATATGAACTATATTATTATTATAATTTATTTAAGATAGCGAGCTATCTTAAATAAACACCGTAAAATTATTATAAATATTTTCATTACATTGTTAACACCTTCCCCCCATTATATTTTGGTTTACGACATGTTATTTATTGATTTAACTATATTGTTTATGCCACTTCGCCGACCTTTAGTATTTAAGGGCCCTCGTTACCCCTTAAATTTAAGATACTTTTTGAAAAACTTCAAATATATGTGGTTATTTGTTATTTAATTATTGTCTACTCTCGTTAATTATTGGATATACCGTTAGCCGCCATCCCCCAGGTGACTCACTCCCACTTCAATAATAGCGATTTAAAAAGGCTTAAGGTAAAACGGCATTCGAGTGCGGTGCACAACTAGCCGTCCTACAGTATAACTGCCTCGTACGAAACAATATTTATGTATATACATTAGGGTGTCCCAGAATTTTGAAGTTACGAAAATGCTTAGTGCATACCACTCAAATTTATTTGTATACATATGAAAAAGAACACAAAAAAATTTTAGGTCGATCAAACAAGTTTAACTCGTGCCGACTTTGGGTTGAAAATTAGTTAAAAGGGGTAGTTTTTCAGTTATTTTCCATTGACTCGTTTATTAGTGCTCTCACAAAAAAATATATAGGAAATAAATTGTAGATATAAATGTTGTGTATAACTAAAGTTTGTATAATTTTTTTTTTAAACCCACTAGTTTTCTAGAAAAATTGTAAAAATAAGTATTATTTTGCAAAACTGTCGAAATTGATATATTTACGAATATTGCATCATATCTGACGAATCGTTTATAATAAGAAGTAATATTTAATATAAAAATTCTTCAAATTTTAATTTTCTAAACAAAAAGTAATGAGTAAAATTTTCATTGGGGCGATTGTTTTATTGTTTTAACATGATTAATATTTATTTTTACTAAATATTGAATATTATTGGTTAAATTTTTGTAGTCAAATTCTGTTTATGCTAATACAAAACAAATTTAAAAAATACCAACTGAAAATGATAATTTTATCATGTTTATTTTAATTTTAAAAAAATTATAATTACAATGCTGGTACTTATAAAAAATTATTATTGGGGATATTTTCTCTTGAGAGTTTCTTTGTTCGAATTTTGGTATAATTTTCTATGTTCTTGCACACAACGCAACAAAAATTGTTTTTGTTCCTCTTCAACTGTAATCAAACCATGAAAATCTTGCATCAACTTTACAGCCCTTTCAGCAGTATCATTTACAGCTTTCAGTGTTGATACAGTTTTATGGGCTGCTATATTTGAAGCATTTGTCACCCAAAATAATGGACATTCGTTCAGAAAACTATCATCAATTTCTAAACGGGTAAATAAGAACTTACTTTTGGCTGACACAAAATCACAGATATTTTTGTCTAAAATAAAATAATTTACAGTTATCATTAAATAAAAAATCATATTAAAATATACATGTTTATCTTTCATACTAACCGTATAACAAACCGCCAAGTTCTTCTTTTATCGGTGTTAGCGCGAGTCTCACTATAATATTGTATGTTATCTTTGTTTAACTGGTCAGCAATGTATCTTTTATTATAAATCTAGTCAGTGTACGTTCCACCGCTGAACCATCAGCGACGCGCTCTAATATTAATCTAAGTCATACTCGTATTTAAATATTGTCGTTTAAGTTAATTATAAATAAAATTACGGAGCAAATATTTTGTAAATTATATTTATAGTTTGTTAAGTTTCATATTTATTACATTAATCAAACAAATTAAAAAATATCATACAAATAAATTTAAGTGAGAGTTCGATTTATTAACGATTAATAATCCCGCTTCACCATCAGTCGGTATGTATCGTTTTCCAAATGTACATTCACTTTTTTTTGTTAAATTTTTTACCATAAATCGTTTTATATCTGGTTCAACTTCATCGTCAAATAGTGCTAAGATTACAATTTCATCAGTTAAGTACCACAAATGCTGACTAAATTTTTGCAGTGCCACATTCGAAATACTTATGTCAATGGTTTCATAAGCTTTTAATGACTTTAAAAAACACAAGTCTTGATGAGGTGATTTTACTGCAAGAACGCCTTTAAGCCAAGGCTTCACGTAAGTAGTAACAATGAATAAGCAAACATCTAGCAACGCGGTTTTATCCTGGCTAGTAATATTTAGTTGAGAACTAAGTAATGATATTTTCAAAGAATATGTAGCTCTTGCCATCCATCTCGCTTGGTGCATTGCTTCTGGAGGCCTAATTTTAAACTTTTTCTCTGAATCTCCTCCTAAAAATATTATTGAAAGTTCTACCAGCTCTCGATAGTCATCTCTGACAATTTTTTTTGTTAATTCCGCATGGTAAAATTCAAGTACAGTTTCAATTGTTCATTTTTCCAATTTTCTTTAAATTTTTTGAATAGTGGAATATCGGGACTTTAGTCACGTGACTGTTTTTTAATTCAAAAACGCTTTTTAGTACCAGCTCATAAATATGATGGCGAAAAAATAAGCAATTNAAATATGATGGCGACAAGCAAAAATAAGCAATTCTCTATCAAGTCTTTGCTCTAATAAGGAACATGCGCCATTAATGCGTCCTGTATTGGAAGCTGTTGTATCACAGCATAAAATTAGCACTTTATCTTCCAGATTCCAATTAGTGATAGCATTCCAAATAGCTCGTGCTTGTTCTTTACCAGTGGAGTTTTCTAATTTTGACACAGAAATCAGTTGTTCTTTATTTCTGAATAAAATAAAAATAGGGAGTCGTTCTTTTTTTTTATTACAATTTTCTAGTGCAGGCAACAGTTTTCCGTCCCAGTGTACCGTAACAATGTCTGGTACTTCATCCTGAAAATCCACTTTTATGGCATTTGCACGCTCCTTGCGTTTTTCTGTACGGATTCGTTGTACAGGCGACTTACTGATAGTAAATTTGTCTGTATTATACCCTAGTGCTTCAAGGATAGCTTGGAGGATAAATACAGAGTCTCTTGTGCTTAATTGACATCTATCTAGCGCAGCTACTAATTTTGGAGTAATAAATTCTTTTTTTGCTACAATTGTAATAGTTTCATTTTTGGAAGGTGTGTTGTCCGATACAATTGGTAAATTTGTTTGTAAATCTATCATTTCACCAGAACTGCAAGATGAATCATCCTGCATATGTGCATTTAATTCTGAAGAAGTTGACGGAGTTAAATACTTTATTTTCCTATTTTCTTCTGCAATAGACTTAAGTCGTGCTCTTTCCTCCTTATCTGCTAACTTTTTATCCACACCAGCTAAGTGTCCAGGTCGTCCAGGCTCTCTTTGCCGTTGCAGGAATATCTTGTCATCCTCAATTTTAATTAATTTATTTGCATCCACATTAGCAATATCAAATAAATTATCTAAATTTTTTATGAATGTTTGCTCACGTTTTTGAAATAAATCGTTTGCTTTTTTGCATTCTTTTGCAGGTCTCTCCAAATGTGATACAAGTCAACAAGTTTTTTTATACAGTTTGGTAAATAAATTAACTATTAATAATTTAGTTTGATATTGATTTTGTTGGTATTCGCGTCTTTGCCCAAAATATAATACATTCACGAAGGACGAGATTCGCACTTTCACTCACAGTTAATTTTACTTCACGCATATTATAAAATAAAACAGCAAGTACTTGGCCATTAGAAGGAAGTTTTGAACCCGTAATTTGATGTTTTATGTCACCTATTAAGAATATTTCTTTTTTGGAACTCCTCAATACTAGTGACATTTTTATTGATAAATAAAACTTTCAATAAATATAATAATTAAACTTGATATTTTATACTTCAAAATAACATAAAAATTAAAACTGACGCTACGTTAAATTAAAAATATAAAATAGGCTGCACAGAGGTAAACAAAATCAATATAATAACGCAAGCGACTAAAGTAGTATAATAAAGAATTCATTATCATAAGTCGTAATCTTTCCATGATTTGTGGAAATATTTAATAATAGCAAAATAATTTTACTCTATATGTAGATAACACAATAATATTATAANTTTTACTCTATATGTAGATAATACAATAATATTATAACCGTACTTCATAAGAAATTTTGTAGTAACATACCAGATGATAAACGAAATTAACCAATAATACTCATATATTTTGTAAAAATAAATATTAATCTTGTTAAAACAATAAAGCAATCGCCCCAATGAAAATTTTACTCATTACTTTTTGTTTAGAAAATTAAAATTTGAAGAATTTTTATATTAAATATTACTTCTTATTATAAACGATTCGTCAGATATGATGCAATATTCGTAAATATCTCAATTTCGACAGTTTTGCAAAATAATACTTATTTTTACAATTTTTCTAGAAAACTAATGGGTTTAAAAAAAAAATTATACAAACTTTAGTTATACACAACATTTATATCCACAATTTATTTCCTATATATTTTTTTGTGAGAGCACTAATAAACGAGTCAATGGCAAATAACTGAAAAACTACCCCTTTTAACTAATTTTCAACCCAAAGTCGGCACGAGTTAAACTTGTTTGATCGACCTAAAATTTTTTTGTGTTCTTTTTCATATGTATACAAATAAATTTGAGTGGTATGCACTAAGCATTTCCGAAACTTCAAAATTCTGGGACACCCTAATATACATGAGGGAAAAATGTTAGTATTACAAAAATAAGGAGAATTTTTATTAACTTTGAGGCAAAACAGAATGGTTTATATTTAATTACACTTCTTATCAACTTTAAATATCATATAAAATAATATTTATAATTATGAAAATGTATAAAATAATTTTCTAGTCGATATCGGATTTTGGACACTTAAGATTAAAAAAGCAAATAATAAATATGAGTTAGAGTAATTTAAATAATTTAAAGAGGTTTTGATTTAAATTGAGTAATTTTAGTTAAAAAATTATAAAATTGAAACTTATTTACAGTAAATGATAAATGATAAGTGATTAATGTCAATATCACAATTTTTAATTTCATTAATCATAAGTTTTATTTGAAAATATTTATGAAATTTAACTAGATAAGAAGTTTTAAATATTTTATATGAAAATTTTTCATATATATTATAATTAATAAATAAAAATCTTTTTACAAAAGGTATACAACTGTATCAAGTTTCATTCGAACAAAAATTGATGTTAGTGAATTTTATTTTACTGAGAATTAACTTTTTTACATTTATACAGTATAAAAAGATGTATCTATTTTTCCATAAATTTTTTCGAAATTTTCTTGAGTACAACAAAACATTAGTCCATTGTTGTCATCGTTACTTTTATTCAAACCTTCGACACAAGTATTTGGACAAATATACAAATCATCAGTGATGTTCTGGTACGGATTATTGAGCCCAATATATACAGTACCACTTTCTGTATCAAGGTTGTGCACCAACTTCCAATAATACAAAGGTACTGTTATCTTATTAGGTGGTAGCAAATGAATGGGCTTCTGGACTCCATTTATGTCTTCTAAAGTGCAAACTCCATATGTTCCTGTAATTATCACATATTTAGAGCTATCATGAGACAACTTTTCCCTTGTTTTCTTTTCAAGATTTGACCATAGTGCTCCATTGAATACCTGCCATTGAGGTGCCACATTAGCAAAATAAAATCTGCAACACAATGACCATTATTTCTAATGAATTATATAAAACTTTTAACTCTATTAATGAATATTAAAAATTCTAACGTAGCATATTGTTCAGTGTAATAGATAAAGTCCGCTTTTGGCGCAAAGTGTCCTCGTGACAATACGTGTTGATTATCGCCTAAGTATTTGGTCATTTGACTTTGAGATCCCAAAATTTTAGTAATAGTATTTTTCTATCAAAATATTTAATATTACACCAATATCTAACTATAGTATAAATATAATGTTATAAGGAATGATTTAACAATTAAATATTGAGAATCAAAAATTATATATTTTTTTCAGTAATCATTCTAAGATTTAAGGAAAAATATTATACACTTACCTGTTCTGAAATACTGTAAATTTTATTTAAATCCACTTTTCCGTAAAGAATTTGTGAGTTAGCAAATGGAGGCCTATTTTTAACATGAAAATTATAAATACTATATGGCGAACGTGTCACATACGACGCAAATAAACTATTTTTTGTTTCCATATCAAAACAAATCTTCAACATATTTAATCGTCTTAATTTAGTGGCAAATCCGATCGTCACTATTGAATGATTGGTTTGACATTTTTCATCAGTTAATTTCAAATCAGACTTAGGTATATTCTCGCATTTGAAAGAGTCATACTCATAATTCTGACCACGGTAACTAAGTTCATTTCCACTTACACAAGCCACTGTGATTTCTGAATCACTAGGAGCGACAATATCAAACGTATTATTACCCACGCAAGTTAGTTTGAACTTCTGATCTTGTTGGACATTTATAAAACCTTTATCATTTGGGTATAAAATTTGATAAGTTGATCCACTTGGTATAAATGGAATAGGCATGAACTTGAAGTCGCTTTTTTTCGCTGACAAGGTACAATCTAAATAGTTTGATTAAAATAATGCGTAAGAAATAAATTATTTACAATCAATATTATGTGTAAAAAATTGTATTGGAAATATGCCATTCGGGAGTATAGAAATTACATATTTAAAGTGAATAAGTTTAAATACTTAATCAAATATTATTTGTGCATTAATTGTTTTAATGAACTTTATAAAGAGAAATCCATATTTTAGTTCAAACCTGAGTATTTTAAAGAATAAAAACTACCTTCATATGCTTTTTCTATGCACATAGTGCCAGACTATTTCATGTTATTTAAAATAATGTACTCAGTAGTTGGGAGTAGCGAGTTATTTGTAGAAGAACCACAGTAATTCGCTACTTTCTAGGTAACGTTAACGTTACGTTGCTACAATAAAAATAAATTATCAAAATAAATAAAATAAAAATAAAGTTGAAACGGTTGGATAAAGTTGAAAAAATAAAGTACCGACTGGCGACTGGCGTACTTGAATAGGATGGAATTTTTTGAAGCGAAACTTCTTAACGGAGGTTTGGATAGATAATAAATAAAAAAATACGACTATGCACATGCGCATAAATTTGTATGTCAAATGAAAACTGCTAGCTAAATTTTATTTTATCAAATTAAAAAACAAAAAAATTAGAAAAGTAAAACAATAAAAACAATAAAAAATACAAAAATTAAGTACTAACTACAAAGAAAAATGAGTATAACATAGTTTTACTAATTCTAATGTGATGAATGTGATAAAATTACTTCAATTCATATTTGTAGTTACTAAGTAAATGATGACAAAAATTTCCAATTTAAGATCACCAAATGGAAAACGGTTTGCGGATGACATATTTGATAACATAATATGTAACGACATTTAACAAAGAAATCGAAAATAGTATTCAATATTCAAATGTGACCAAAGTGTACACAAATACTGGAACTAAATGGTTTCATTAATGAAACAATTGTTGGTAAGAAACCCAACTACACATAAATAAATTATAAATTTAACACTGGATACATGCTCAAGAGATATTACTGGTCTTTGCACAAAATTTAAGAGCAAAGTTAAAGCAAAGTTTCACAATTCGTGGACACTATACAATAAGAGAATTTTCTACTTCATATACGTCATTGTCTACAATATGTCATAATATCTTTTAATTAATTGACAAATATATATATATATATATTTCAATTAAAAACAATTATGTATTACATTTTGGGGTGAATCAGCATAACATTTTACCGCTGAAGCAGAAGACGTAATATTGTATCTAAATTGTTACTTAATGGAATATAGGGGAGAAANGCAGAAGACGTAATATTGTATCTAAATTGTTACTTAATGGAATATAGGGGAGAAAATAAATTTCACTAAGATTGACTAGCAAAATTGAAATAAATCGTACATGGAAAAAAAGGCATCAGTAATTGGTATTACTTAAATACCCAAGAATTTACAATATTAAAAATATTTTCTCGTAAAAATCTATTAATAGTAGATATTTATAAAAAATATATTATTGATAGAATTTTAGAGAACAGTATTAATTTTCAAAAAAAAATCTTACAAAAGATAGAAAAATTGGATGAAAGAGAACTCATTCATAAATACAAAACAATGATGCAAAATCATATAATGTCCATTCTGTTATAATTAACGTGATATTCGTATTTTTACAAGCATATTTTGTTAGTTTTAATGATTGTAGATATATTTTGTATGTGTATTTTGTTAGTTATATTAAAAATATATAAATCTATTAATTCATTCAGATTTCTTGTTGTAGACTTTATTATATAATGTTATTATATATCTTAATAATAACTATGTTTTGCAAAATTACTGTTGATTAGGTTGAATTTGTCGTACAGACATTAGAACGGCCCCGCGTCGCTTCGTTATACACGATGCCCCTTGAGTCGTGCCACCTTTATCGGCCGTCGCCTTACTATGAGTATTTGACTGACCAACATCGCGTGCCATACGCCACGGTGCAAAGTCCAACAAATGTTGCACGGCCGACGACGACCCGCCGCAAATGGTGCGAGAGTCTTCCTCCCGTTGTGAAAGCGACAATGTTGATGAACCGATCCGCACCATCGCCATCAACGCTGCTAACTTTTTGACGGTCAAGGATCATGCTGGACACCGCGTCGTGGACGCCAGCAGCGAATGTACCGCGATATTATGCGAAGATTATTATTATTGTGTTCGTCTTTCCGGTTTGTTTTATTTTTAAATAACCTGTTGTTGCTCATTAATAAACGGCCCACAGGTCTCTACCCTCAAAACCAGTGTCGACTACATTATTGCGCGTAAGTCATGTCAACATCTTTATGGATCATATATTTATAGGTATCATTTAATTATCTATTTACTTAATTTTTTAATAACAACATTTCAACATAAAACTGTTGTTTGTAAATATTTAATACTCCATTTACAAATATTGAGTGTGAAACCATAACCATATACATTTGTAGTTATAGCTATATTTAATCAAAAATTGCGTTGTTAATTTTTTAATTGTGTTTTAATTCACCCATCCAAACCACAGTCGTTAAGAAGCTTTGCTTATACATTTTATTATTATATTTAAATATTTTTTATTTTTCAATTGTTCATTCTGTTGTTGAGTATGGTTCCATTTTTTTGATCTCCTTATTCAAAATGTCATATCTCAACATTTGAGGATATTCTAGATCATTTTTAAAGAATATTATCATTTAAATTAAGTATTGAATGAATCCCACATTCTTTCTATGATCCAATATGTAGTCTTCTCTACATTGGACTTCTAAGTAATAGAAGATTAATAAGTGATTTTACCTTTTTAAGTGATGTTTTGAATAGTATTTATTATTATCTTGAGTTTTTAATGAAACAACTTACTAATGTTATGTTATATTCCCCGCATTAATACTAAATATTCTAATTTGTTTTATATAGAACTTAATCGTGATGATTCACCTGTCATACACTTTATGGGTAATTGTAACAAATATAATATTGAGTTGTTTAATTTCCCAAATGTTAATGTTTTTAATAATTATCTATAATCTAAATTTAAATGTTTTGTCTTCGTATATTAATTAACTTAATTATGTTACTTTATACACTATGTATTTATTTTAATTTTGTGTGATTAAAGATATACTATCTACTATATTATAATATTTATCTATACGAATTTGTCTCGTTAAGTATATAAATAAATAAATAAAACAAAACATAGAGAAGAGCCCGAAAATAGATATTCTGAAACCAGTTCCGTTAGAACTGGAGAGAATGTCCCCACTAATGTTTTGTCCACGGGTACAAGACCCAACTTTTTTTAATTTTTGACCAAGATACCAAATCCGACATACAGAAGTTCTTATCATGTCACCTTGGAACAATAGGAGTTCCAAACGGGATCGGCAAGTCGTGTGCCAGCTAAACGGGAGTTGGCGGAATAGAAGAAACAAAAGGCACTACTAAGGCATGTACCACTCACCAACCATAGACCAAACCAATTAGAAAGTAATGAGGGAGTGACAGTAACAGCCAGCAATATAGAAGAGCAAACGAAGTGCTAGGTACAAGAGGATACTCTACATCTGGCGATCGAGGAGACCGAGCTGGAGGACATCCGACGAGATCTGAACTCACCAGATGGAAAAATCTAAAAGACTCGATAAGTTTCACACCCAACAGCTCTCCCAACACACAGAAACGAGGGAAAGAGTAACCACATTTTGGATTGTTAGTGGGCACTTTGGGAGGGAGAATGACTCGCCCGTAGTGTTACCATTGCAATGATCTGGATATCATCTGGATAAAGATAGTAATACACCAACCGTGTTGTGCTTTCCTAAATCACTCATTAGACAAAACCCGAATCATTAATTGACGACCGGCAGCGTTGACATAAATTAATAGTTTGACGGGCACCAGTTTGTGATTGAAATTTCACGGTCAACGTACGCACCTGTGATTATTTTTTGATAATTTTTTCGTAATATATCGTAGTATATTGTCTTTAAAAACCATTGATTACCTTTTAAAATTGTTATCCTAATTAGTTTTAGTCTAGTTAAACGATTGTTAAAAAGTTCGTTTTCTTTTCCTACCGTAACCACGACAGAGTAGTAAATAGGTATAATAGGGTCTTACCAATTACAATTTTGTTGTGTTACTAAATTACATAAATAGTATTTTGTTTTACCTTAAATACTATATTTGGAAAATTCATACTATTAATAAAAAAATTAAATAAAATTTAAGTATTATATACTTAATCTAAAGCATATATTTTATGCTTCAATTTTTTCTTTAAAGTAGCCAAATTTATTACAATTCTTGTAAATAATTTAATTAATTTTTAACTTATTTTTTAAACTTATAAATTTTTATTTTCGTAAAATTTTTATTACTTGATCACCTTAATACAAAAAATTGTTGTGAATAAATTTTAAAGGAGGGCGTGACTTACTTTTAGTTCACTGGCCGGGTATCTGTTAACTACTTCATTCGAGAACCGTTATATTACATTACTGCTTCTTTATTTTATCATCAAAATTAATATTGTAAAATATTTAATAATAATGTTATAATATCATTATGTTATCATACCATGGAATTATTAACTACTCGAGTAAACATTTATAGTATTATAGTGAAATGGGAAAATTTATGTTTATACAGTTTATAAAAAACTTACTTAATAAAATATTTTATAAAAAAATTAAATGACATAAAAAAAATATGTAAAATCCATGCTCAAATCTCAAAAAAAAAATCCCCTTTGCTTAAAGCGAACTTCAAGCTAGAGTGCTTTAATAATATTACAATATATTAAAAAAATATTTACAGATTTAAAGTATTAACTTATATTATATTAAAAAAATTTCTATGTGTTATTAAAACTCATAATAATAACAATGTTTTATAAAATATTATATTGAACTAAAAATTGATGAAGTTTTTTTTAATTTTATCATTACTAAAAAAACTTAATTTGTTAATCTAAAAAAAAGATTACCTTTTGATTGGCTTTGTAAGTCTTCAGCAGCATCACCGAAATTATATATCACACTCAATAAAAAAAGAAAATAGATATAAGGAAAAAGGGGTTTTAAAATTATCATATTATTGTGTTATGTATAAACACCAATTAAAAGAAAAGTAAATAGAAACTCAGAAATAATTTGTGAGAAACTTAGAGTGGAAAATCAACTTATTAGTTTTATGACTGTTATTTATACTCTGAAGTAGCTATACCTACCACTCTTGCTCAGCTTCTACTACACAGCTAAAATGAGAGGAGGTACTACAGGACAACAAAAGTGAGGTACTACAAAGATATAAATTACTATTATATGCTATGCATTCGATTTATTCTTTCATTTTAATAAATTAATTTATTAATCAAGTTGAATAAAAAATAAGTTACCTGAGCGTAATTATTTAGTTATGCTTATAAGTATGTATCACTAATACATTCTAATTCTTAGGCATCTTTTTTATTGTATTTCTTATATTACACGATTATATCGATTCTACATTTATGACTATCTGTTTAACTGAATTGAAGAATTCAAATGTTCTGTTAAAAGTCGATTTTTGGATTATTCATCATGGATTTATTTTTCATAAATAGAATATTATTTTTAATATTTAACGCCCATAAATATAATTTAAAGATTGAAATGTCTAATAATCAATATACAGACAAATTAAGCTTTTAATCGTTAATATTTAATATTAACAATAAATATCTTAAATTATTGCTAAAAAAAAACATGTAGCATATAATGAATTCTTATAACATATTTAAAATATTTTTTATTGTGTATAACAGGTTGTAAATATTTATAACAAATAAAGTTTTGTTGATAAAAATAAATAAATTTATAATCAATGAATTATAACTGTCGAAAAAAGTGTAGTGTAATGTTATCTGGAGATTACGAAATCAACAAAAATATGATATCTTAAAATCATCCCATAGTAGTAGCTTTACAAATAATATAACTATTGTGCTAATTATAAAACTTGTTTTAGTTATTGAATGTTGTGTTGAACCTGAATCGTATAAACAAATAAGAACCTTTAACAAATGACTTAAAAGAATATTGAACAATAATAATTAAAATTGCATTTTCAAGAATTACTGCAACTAACTGTTTGTATATACGTTTTCTCATAAAAAAATAAATAAATGAAAATATTTTAATACATAACTGCAACGAGCGTTAGCTATTTAAAAAAAATATATATAAATTTTTAGTTAAAACAATGGGGTATTGTTTAAATACAACAGATAACTGCAGTTGTCGGTTTTTCATGGTAGCTAATTTATGCATTTATAGCGCAATTGAAACCTTGTGATTTCACGTGCCATTTATGACATATTATTATAAAAAATAATTATAAGTAATTAATTTTGAAATATATCATACAATATATCTATAAGGGATTTTAATTAAAGAGAATAGTAAAAACTAATCTCTTTTACCTCTTTCTTTTAAATAATTAGTGATTCTTGAGGTGTGTTGAGCAAAAATCATCAAAAGTTTTACAAAATCATAATACCCCTAAGAAATTCCAATTTGCGTTATTAGTATCGTGTACCATACTTTTTTTTAGTGGAGTTTTGAACTAGGACTCCAAAAATACGTTTTTTAATTTGCATATTGTACACTGTACAATCTAGTAGTGCAAATACTTCAATTTTTATGCACGCAATTCGGAAGTGTAGAGAATATCTAGATTTCTCAATTAACGTTCTTAATTCGTATTCAAACGTAAATTTAAACAAAAACTAGAACAACTTATATGGTATCACTTGTAAACATGTGATATTATAAAATGAGAGATAACAATTTATTTGTTATAAGTATTTTAATTGATTTGATTATAATATTATATTTATTATAATTGTTGTTGCAATATACTTCACGCTATAATAAGATCAAAACCAGGACTTGAGTCAAAATCATTTATTTTGTTTTTGCATTAACAATATTATTGCGTTATACGTTTTAAATAATTTTGATATTATGGATTACAATTAGGGATTTATAATGTTTCCGTTTTGCGTAAATTAAATCTGTTACCACTTTTTCTCAGCTCTCGCTGGACCGATTTCTTTTAACAATACGTCAAAAGATCATATATCGTATCTAGTTGAAGACATTACCCTTAAAAATTGAAAAATTTGCCCTCGTTCCCCGCAAATAGGGGAAACTCCAGAAAAATTACAAATTTAAAAATCGGTAAATTTTGTCATTTTTTTCACCTTTTTTTTCTTAAAACTTCCATAACTTTTTCAAAAATAAACAAATCAACATAATTTTTTTTTATACTAAATCCTTAGATATTTCCCTTTCATTTGATATCATTTTTTTGAAAATTTAACACTTAACCTGATCATGGGGGGGGGGATTTAATAGAACAACTTTTTTACAAAAACTAACTTTTTCAATTTAATTTTTGGAAATGTTCTGGAAATACTGCGTCCTTTAAACATATATAAAATTAAAGCTTATTTTATGTGCTATAAAATGAAAAAAAAAAATTTGTCTCGGCACTTTATCTTCTGGATGTAAACGGCTGCCGTAGTTAAAAAAAGTTTTTTTAAAGACACTTTATCGGATTCCTACAAAAGTATAATCATATTTATTCCTCTAGATGCTAGATAAAATCTTGACGAGTTGCGCTTGCAGTTATATTTTAACTAAAAACGATTTTGATAACATATTAGGTCGAAAAATATTTCTGAACTTAATTTAGTATCATAACGTAATGGTTTATTTATTGAAACATTACTTATAATCAAAATTATTACAAAATGTATAATGTTTTTTAAATATTACGGTCTATGATTATTATGATTCGATTATAGTTTTTTAATTTTGTCGTATTGTTTGAAATTAATCTAAACTTGAGGTGTTTGATTGAAATTTCTGAGTGGCTAATGTCCCATAGCATTCATTGAACTTTTCCCCATTTCATAAATAGATTTTGAACAAAATATTTGTGAGTAAGAGGTAATATATTGAGGGACTTGACCAGTGTTCGAAATCAAAAATGATAGCAGAATTTTTAGGTGCATAATTGTATACACAGCATACCGCAAATAAAGATCCTTTTCAGTAAATTTTTGTATATTAAAAGTACGCCTTCCTAAGAATCATTTCTATAATCAAATTCATGTAATTTCAAGAATTAATGGAACTCCCTGACAAAATTACATATTAGCAGAATGAAATACAACATAGTGGATATGAGATTGTGTGGAGACCGCAGTTAAAAAAAAATCGGAATTTTAAAGCAGAAAAAACGTAAAATCTGTTTCAGGTGAAGCTATGAGGGGCTGGGATTTTAGTATATAGTAAATACCTATGTTAATATTATGTAAATGACTTTTTATATATCTGATGGATAAAAATAAAAATAATATTAATTTTAGGAATATATTTTTTTGCTCCATGATTTAATGCCAACTTTTGCCCCACTGTGCGTCGAATCGTTGAATCCGTGGATTGACTTGGAGTATATCTTCTCATTGTATGTAAAATTATTTTATAGTTCAATGTCTAAAATTGAATGTTCAAAATTGAATTTAAATATGAATTTATACATTTGAAAATCATATCATACAGAAAAAAACATATTAATTAGATGAATGGTAATCTTTCTTTTTTTTATGCTTAGAAATCTATCATTGAAATTTATTGTTATTTTTTATTATTAGTCATATGGGCTAACCGCTTTAGTAGGAACCCGGTGCCGAATAAAATCCTTATGTACCAACCAATATCTCTAGCTCCCAAGGTTTTATTTTATTATTTAATCGAGTTCATGTAAAATATAATTAAAACACTTATGCTTATTTATATTTGTATTAAAAACATTAAATAATGTTATTGTGCTCATAGTTGTTAAAAAAGTACTTATCATTTTGCTTGGTATCAAATATCTTTTAATTAAAATTTAACAATTTTAAATTCAAAGTTTAAATTTACAAATTACATTTGTAGTATCAGTTTATTAAACTAAGTTGTACAAAAACAAACTAAAATTATTTACAAAATTCACATGAATTATTATTTAATTATAAAAATTAAATAATTTAAATAATTATTTAATTATATTTTGTTCGATTTTTTAAAATATGAAAGAGTAAAAAGTAATTTTTCTTTTGGAAAGTTTAAAATGTATTACATTAGTCAAAAATTCAGGTATTTATCAAAACATAACTTCATGAATTCTTTGAACTGTTTCTTATTGAACATGTGCAGGTTGTGTATTTCGACGTTGAGTTGTACCTCTTCTTCTACCACCTCTTCTAGCAGTTTGTGGTGCATACTCTACTCGTGGGACATTAACTGTCAATTCTAAAAATAGTTAAAACAATAAATATAAGTTAATAAATGTTCAAATATACTTACTTTCTTGTTGTACTTTTTCCCGATGTTCTTTTATTGCATTCCCAAGAAGATTACAAATATTAGTAATAAAGTTATCCAAAGATAGACAAAAAGTTTTGGTTTGAACTAAAGTTCGACAAAGAGGACACACTTGACTATTTTTCAACCAAGTATTTAAACAAATTTCACAAAATGTATGGCTGCAATTAATTGTACACGCCTAAAAAAAAAACCAAATTTACATATTAAATTTTATATAAAATATTCATTTTCACAATTTATGACTAAATTTTATTTATTTCCCAATGATAATGAGATATTTAAAATCATTTTTTTAATCTAATTTATGGATGCGTAAAATTCAAGTTTTCTTGAACTAACATTTTGAGATAAAATATGTTTTATTTAAACTTCAAACCCAAATTCTAAAATAAAATAATTTTGTTGGTATAATTATGAAGTATGTGATTTTTTTTTCAGTCTCTTAGAAGCTAATTTATCAAAAACAAAATTTAAAAACTTATTTAAATTTTGGATAAAAAAAGTTACTAAATTATAAAATAATAATATATAGACAATGACATAGTAATATTATTCATTTTACTTAAATTGCATTTTATTTTCATAAACAAATTTACTTTAAAATGTCACACATCATGCAAAAGTAATGTAAATGTAAGTAAATGAAGTAAATGAAGTAATTGTAAAATTGTTTTTTATCTTAGAAGATTAAGCAAATTTTATTTTAAATTGAAAATTTGTGTCTTCATATGTTTAGCAATCATATTAATTGTTAGTTCAAAATAAAAATATGTACATTTACCTAAAGAAAAGCATTTTAAATTACTTTACTAGATTTTACTATATGAATTTTACAATTGATTTTTAAACACATTTATTTACTTTTTTAACTAATAAAAAAAAAATTTCATCAGAAATTATTTTTTTAATTAAAATATTTTAGCTTTACTTTTCAGAAATTTTATTTACAATTCTAGAATTAGAAAGTTCAAAAAGTTTTCAGATCTCTACTATCACTTTATATTATTTAGCAATATTAAAATTGATTAAAAAGTATTCCCTAATGCATTTTTTAACCAAAGTAACATAATAAATTTGCTAAGAACTTTTAACATGATGACGTGTTATATTTCCACTATTAATGGATTTAAATGTAAAAATAATACCTTAACCATTAATTCATTACAAATTGAACATTGAAAATCACTTTCTAGAACACTATAAACTTTTTCTTTGATTGTTTCTTCAATTTTTGATATTTGATCTAGAAAAGAAATTCAAACAAAAAAATTAACTTCTCAAAAAAAAAGATAATAACAAAGTATGTTAAAGCTATTAAATGACTTAACAAAGTTTAACTTAAAAATTTTATCTAGAAAATAGAATTAAAATGATAATAATTTGATAAATACCTCTTTTTAATGTAATTTAACATTAGCCTTAATACAATTGAAAGTTTAGGAAATATAAGATAAATTAATTTTTTCAAAAATGTCTTAAATCCATAGGTGTTTTATTTTTTAATTAATATTTTTTCTTATCAAAATATTTAATAGAAAGAATAAGATTTATTTATTTTTAAAACGTGATGAAGATGTTTCTAAAATATTTATAAAAATCAATTAAGACCACACATGACAATGCATTATAAATTATATTTTTCTTAGAGATTTGAATTATAATTGTTATAATATAAAAAAATGTAATGTTTTATAAACAAAAATGTATGGACATGATATTGTTACCAATGTTTCTAATGTTCAATTTAATACAATAGTAATAAATAAGCCCAAAATTAATTTATACCCCATTACGTGAACTCCATCCAAAAAATAAAAAAATGGAGTTCATAGGCTATTTATTTATATATTTTATACAGATAAATAAGTCCAGATTAAGAATCAGTATATTTCATGTTATATACTAAGAATATCATGTGACTTTGCTTAAACAAGTGTAAAATTAAATAAAGTAAGTTAATAACAATATATATACTTATATAATCACCTTGTTGAATTTTTAAAGTATTTTGGTAATCTAAATTCTTTTTTGTTAATTCATTATTGGTGAGTTTATGCTGCGGACAAAAATTTTTTTAATATGATTTAATACAAAAATATAGGTTAATAAAACATGATTTTAGAACTAATTTAAAAACTAATACAATCTATATATACATTTTTTTAATTATAGTAAATGTTAATAAAAAAAATTATTATTGTGTGAAAANGTATATTTTTTTAATTATAGTAAATGTTAATAAAAAAAATTATTATTTTGTGAAAATAATATATGTATTAACCAGAGGTTAAGTTATTTTTACTTAAAATATATTTACTTTTAGAACTGTTTTTTTCAATTTTTTAACTTTTTTTGATGCTTGATTAATTATTTCATTAAATTTATCAAATTTAGCATTTATAAAACGCTTTATTGATGCTTTTTCACTTTTCAGCTAAAATAAATCAACTAATAATTAAAAAAATTGGATTTAAATAAGTGATACGGTCACATTTTGTGCACAAATCTTGGTTCAGTTAATAACATTTAACAGCTTGGTCAGCATTCATGCTTATTACAGATAGATATACAGAGACCCGCTGAAAATTTTACACATTCTTTCAGAAAACTGTATGTAAAAATGTAGTGCAACAAGCAGTTGAGACCTGCCATATGAATGCTTAACATCTAATTAATATTATTTGAACTTATTATTATTATGTAATTGTGATTTAAAAAATTATAATTCTCATGATGTTTATAGCACATTGTCATCTCCCTGATGGACATTCTCAACATATCTTGAATCCATAGATTATTATTTTATTTTATTTTATTATTATTTGAATCCATTATACTTTAATTAGTTTTTTCTAATGTGATATGTACTAATTAAAATGTTGGGTTACTGTTAACAGGCATATGAGATATGTACCCAAATAGGGTCGTATCATAAGTAAAAATTAAAAATAAATATATAATTTTTGTATTCATTTAAAGAAATGAATAGTAAAAAAAAAGATAATCCACGGAATTATAACTTACAATATTGTCAACATAAAATTGACTTTTACTAGATTCATATTCTTCACCATATACTTCATTATTTCATCTGAAAAATAAATGCAATTAATTTACACATCCGACTTTATAAAAATTAAACACAAATAGCAGAGTAATTTTAAAAGAACAGGGTATATATGAATGAAATATTTTAAGCATAATTTGGAATTTTGCAAAAAAGCATTTTACCATGAATGCAAGTTTTTTTTAATATTTTTTGTGAGCAAAGCATATTTGACACGGCCCGCGTCGCTTCATTATACACGATGCCCCTTGAGTCGTGCCACCTTTATCGGCCGTCGCCTTACTATGAGTATTTGACTGACCAACATCGCGTGCCATACGCCACGGTGCAAAGTCCAGCAAATGCCGCACGGCCGACGACGACCCGCCGCAAATGGTGTGAGAGTCTTCCTCCCGTTGTGAAAGCGACAACGTCAACAAACCAATCCGTAACCGCGCCCGTCGCCTACAACGCTGCTAACCTGTTGTCGCCCAACGATCACGCCGGACATCGCGTCGTCGACGCCATCGAAAGTGCCGCGATATTATGCAAAGATTATTATTACTGTGTTTATCTTTTCGGTTTGTTTTATTTTTGTTAAAATAATCTGTTGTCGCTAATTTAATAAACGGCCCACGGGTCTCTACTCTCAAAACCAGAGTCGACCACCTTTTTTGCTACGTAAGTCGTGTCATAGTTTAAAAGTTAAAATTTAAAAAGGAATAATTTTTTTCATTTTTTAACAACATTAAATGTAAAATCTATATTTAAAGTTTTATAAACAAATATTGTTCATACTCTTTGTAATTATCATATTAAGCGGTTAGAAAGTTTATAATAAAAATAACTGCCATATATTAAAAGAATGAATTAAAATAATATTTTTTCAGATAATTTTGATTTAGATATAGTGTTTATATTAATCAATTTATTTGATGGCGTTTAATAAAATGAATAATAGATTTGATTATATTAGTGTATTGTTTATCCATATTCTACAAATTACTTACACACATGATGTCTTAAGAATAATCTTACTTCAATTTTTTATCTGTATTTGTTTGTAAAACAAATCTGTAAAGATATTTATAACTTCCACTCCCATCTGCAAAGGAAATAACATCTCCATGATTTAAAACTTGATAATCATTTTGGTTATTAGGAATTTGCACACAATTTACATAAGTTTCATTACCTGTTCCCTGTAGTACAGATATTGTTAATCAACTTAGAATTAATTATTCTCTTTGATAGCTAAATTAATATAAACATGCAATAAAAATTTTAAGTCTTACATTGTGAGAAATAAGATATTGGCCATTGGATTTATTTATAAAATTTATGTCGTCGTGCTATAGATGTTTCTTCAATTACAAGTGAATAGGCAAGAGAACTTCCAATAACAAACTGAAGAGTTATAATGTATCAATTTAACCATTTTAAAGAAAAATAAAGTATATTGTAAAATATGAAACAAAGTTAAGATGGCTTAAAGTTAATATAGATATTATTTTCATATAAAAATATATGTAATTTTAATAAGTTCATCTTAACACTTAAATTGAGTTTATTTCCTAAAGAAAAAATCTACCTCAATCTCTCCAATAGGATAGTTAATGCCACTAGCCAAGCACTGTAATGTTGCATTACCAGTTATGTCAGAATAACTGTTACTTCTTTTTAAGCTCATTGTATTTTTTATCTCTTTTAAGATTTATGGTATTCAGTTTCAAATCTATCATATAAATACACTTTAAAGTAGACTTAAAAGTAATGAAAGTATTTGTATTGAATTAAAAACATTTGAAACTATGGTAGCACATGTTAATTACGTACTGTTAATACAATATAGAACAATTTTATAAAAGCTTATGGAAAATAATAATGTTAAACAAATAAATAACTGGTTATAATGCTATAACTTTTTGAAAGATGTATGGATCAATATAATTATTTTTTTTATGGATGTATGATGTCTTTAACTATCATTTGGTATATTTTTTTATAAATCTGACCCTAAATCTGAATAAGGTCGGTTTTTCGTTACCGCCAAACCGATAGTTTATACCTGTCTACAAATAGAAGCTTGAGAACCACTGGTTAAAATATTTGCCAAAATAACCCTATAATAATTATCTACTTTTCATTTAATCGAACTTTTTCCTATTCTGTTATTGTTAGTTAGATAGCAGTGTATTGATCGGTATATCGATAAATATTTTGCATCCGTTCTTTTTTATTTTATTTTTTTAATTAAAATGTCATTTGAATATATCAGAAGTAAGCGGGGTCAACAAATGATTTTATTGAATAATTTTAAGTTTCGTTTTGCATATAAAGCAATACAAACGGGTAACATACGTTGGCGTTGTTTTGTAAAAGAATGCAAAGGTACCATTCACGTGAATGAGCTTGATGAAATTATTGATCAAACAGGTATTTTTAAAATTTTTAGTTAAATTGATTAAAGCTGACCTTATTTTAAATTAGTTTTAATATGTCTTATAGAACATACATGTAATGGCCCTTATTCTGATCCCATAATTATGAGACAAAAATTAGCTGGCGCTTGTAAACGCAAAGCCGTAGACGATATTTACCAAAGACCGCAAAAAATAATTTTAGGGGAAATTCAAACATTAAGTAATAATAATTTTACGACAATGGATGTGTCATGTATTCGCCAAACTATTTATCGCACTACACGACAATTTTTTCCTACTAACCCAGAATCTATAAGTGAATTACATACAATTATTGATAATACAGAAGTTTTAACTACGCGCGGAGAACAGTTTTTATTACACAACGATCATGAGAAAAATATTATTATTTTTTCTTGTGATACAATCCTTAAATTTCTTTGCAATTCCAAATCAATATATGTAGACGGAACTTTTCAGTATTGCTCAAAAAATTTTGTACAATTATTTACCATACACGGATATATAAACAATTACTATGTACCAATTGTTTTTTGTTTATTAAAAAATTAATTTATAGAGACTTATAAAGAAGCTTTTGAGGTTATAAAATATAAATGCGCTGAAAAAAGTTATTACTGTATCCTGAAAATATAACTGCCGATTTCGAAGTTTCTATTCACAAAGCTGCTCTAATTGTGTGGCCATTAATTACTATAATTGGTTGTAGATTTCACTTAACCCAGAGTTGGTACAGAAAACTTCAAGAGTTAGGTTTGAGTAATGCTTATAAAACATGTNCCAGAGTTGGTACAGAAAACTTTAAGAGTTAGGTTTGAGTAATGCTTATAAAACATGTGAATGGTTAAAAGGTACCTTCGGGTTAACTTTTTTAAATCCAGAAGACGTGTCTGATTGTTTCGTTGATGACTTCATGACATCAATACCTGAGGGAACAACTTTTATTCAATATGCTGATTACTTAATCGACAATTATATTTCTGAGGAAAGCAAATATCCTCCTAAAATTTGGGCATTGATAGACCCCTCATTGGCCCGGACAACAAATAATTGTGAAACATTCCATTCACATTTTAATGATCAATTTTATAAGGCACATTCTTTATTAATATATTTTTAAAAATTTTAATAGAAAACTTTCAATCTTATAATTACATTAAAATATATAGTTCTAATAACGCAATCTCAATAAGCGTACGGAGTAAAATTGAAATCCGTTTCAATAAAACAAAAGAGGCAATTGATAAGTTTAATAAAAAAGAAATTAGCAGACTTGAATTTGTAAAATTAGTTTCCAACAACTACCGAAAAATGTATAGATCNGAAATTAGTTTCTAACAACTACCGAAAAATGTATAGATCATAGATCTATTTTTTATTACATTATTTCATATATTAGATATTTTTTAAGCTTATAACTAATATTTGAATTTTATTTCAATGTTTTGATGACTATATATTTTTCAGTGTTGAGAAGGAACTGGTTCCAAAAGGAACAGATTCCTGGAACGAGTTCTTTTTGAAGGAACGATGCTAGGAACTGCTTCCTTTTAAAATAAAGGAACGAGGAAAATGAACAAATTCCATTTTTTAAGGAACGTGAACGGAAATTACAGTTCCTAAAAATTTTTATAAACATGTTTTAGTGTAGTTTTCTTCGTATCTAGACATTAAAATATTAAGGTATTTTTAGTTGACTTTTGACAATGGAAGTCCCCTATATACCCAGCCGAGATCGTAGGCTGTTTAAATGAATCAATTGACTATAAATAGAGTTATTATCACATGTAGGTATACAGTAAATATTTAATATATGTTTACCAGTAGAGAAAAATACAACTTCAAGTTCTCGTATTGAAGAGTTAGAATTATTCTTAAAATGCCAGTCGAAAGACTTGACTGTGTTACTATTGTACCCTGCAATATTAAAAGTATTTTTAGAATTTAACACACCCCTTCCATCTAGTGCTCCTGTTGAGCGACTGTTTTCGACAGGTTCCAATGTGATGACACAAAAACGAAATAAATTGAGTGATTCACTTTTTGAAAAATTAGTTCTATTAAAACAAAACAAATTTGGTATATAAAATGAAAATTTTGTTTTGTTTTAATAGGACTAATAATTCTCAAATTTGTAATTAATGTGTGTGTTAAATACTAAAAATACTTTTAATATAATACTATTAAATAGTAAAACTGTAAATAAATAGTTGTAAATAGTGTAAATAGTTGTTAACTGTACAAATTTTTTACAGTTAACAGCTATAAGTCTAATAATAAGAAATATGCATTATTACAATGTTATAATATTTCAAACTACAACTGTAATGTGTAGCATTTTAATTATTATAGTATTTATTTATATTCTGAATTAAAAGATCAGTAGTACAGTTATACATTTTTATTACAGAATGATGTCACATTGTTTTTGTGTAGTTACTAATTATAATCAGTGTTGAGAAGGAACTGGTTCCAAAAGGAACGGATTCCTGGAACGAGTTCTTTTTGAAGGAACGATGCTAGGAACTGCTTCCTTTTAAAATAAAGGAACGAGGAAAATGAACAAATTCCATTTTTTAAGGAACGTGAACGGAAATTACAGTTCCTAAAAATTTTTATAAACATGTTTTAGTGTAGTTTTCTTCGAATCTAGACATTAAATATTAAGGTATTTTTAGTTGACTTTTGACAATGGAAGTCCCCTATATACCCAGCTAAGATCGTAGGCTGTTTAAATGAATCAATTGACTATAAATAGAGTTATTATCACATGTAGGTATACAGTAAATATTTAATATATGTGTACATACAATACTTCTAGTTCGGAAGCAAGTGAAACTGAATCTTCCCGTATAGCAAGTAAAGAAGACTTTTTCTGTTTACCAGTAGAGAAAAATACAACTTCAATATCTCGTATTGAAGAGTTAGAATTATTCTTAAAAGTCTTAAAAGTCGAAAGACTTGACTGTGTTACTATTGTACCCTGCAATATTAAAAGTATTTTTAGAATTTAACGCACCCCTTCCATCTAGTGCTCCTGTTGAGCGACTGTTTTCGACAGGTTCCAATGTGATGACACAAAAACGAAATAAATTAAGTGATTCACTTTTTGAAAAATTAGTTCTATTAAAACAAAACAAATTTGGTATATAAAATGAAAATTTTGTTTTGTTTTAATAGGACTAATAATTCTCAAATTTGTAATTAATGTGTGTGTTAAATACTAAAAATACTTTTAATATAATACTATTAAATAGTAAAACTGTAAATAAATAGTTGTAAATAGTGTAAATAGTTGTTAACTGTACAAATTTTTTACAGTTAACAGCTATAAGTCTAATAGTAAGAAATATGCATTATTACAATGTTATAATATTTAAAACTACATCTGTAATGTGTAGCATTTTAATTATTATAGTAGTTATTTATATTCTGATTTAAAAGATCAGTAGTACAGTTATACATTTTTATTACAGAATGATGTCACATTGTTTTTGTGTAGTTGCTAGTTATAAAACATTAATTAACATATTTATTTATGCCTTTTGATTTAAATATGCCATATAATCTAATAATTCATAATAATAATAAAAAAAATTTTTTAAATAACTTGGTTACATAAAAGGAACGAAGAGTGGAACGAGTTCTTATTTTGGAGGAACTGGATCTGGAACAAGTTCCTTCTTAATATAAAGAACTAGGATCTGGAACGAGTTCATATTTTAGAAAATGAACGGGNGGTTGATATTTTAGAAAATGATCGGGGAACGGAACGAGTTCAATTTAAAAAGGAACTTTCCCAACACTGATATTTTTATAAACTATACTTTTATTATTTATTACAAAAATATACATACTTAAGACAGTTATCTATTATAATTTATTTACCTTTGGTAAAACGCCATATTTTGTTTATAAAAGTGTATTTATGTGATAAAATAAGTAATTATCCAAAACGATGTGACTGTATTTAGGGAGTGGTTAAGGAGGGCAAATGTTAATTGATGGCGATGGGAAAAAAATATTGTAAAAAATTACTTTATTTTGCTCATTACTATTAATACTCCACGCAAAAATCATAAATACAGACCTGAACGTAACATTGAATTCTATAGCTAATAAAAGCCGAAAATTTTGGTACGGGAAGCTGCCTACCATGGATAAAGCTAAATGGTTCTCAAATTTTTTAGTAGATAGACAGGTAGAAGATCAGTTTGGCGGAAACGAAAAAATGACCTTATTCAGATTTGGCGGAAACAATGAACGCCCATTTCATATTTATTTATTTGTTGTTTCGTTTTTTTTTTTTTGTTATAAGTTATTTTCTTAATAAAGCTAATTGTTTTGTGTTTGAACATTCACTATAAGTAAATTTGTTTTTATTTTATTACATAGAATAAATTTGTCTACAATAGACAAATCATAAATTTAAATAAAAAATGATTTTTAGTTTCACTTGAATTTAACGATGGATTTTTACAATTATAATCAAATTTTATAATACGTTCAATTGAGTAAATCTTTTTAACAACTTTTTTTTTATTGGTTTTTTTAGATATATAATCATTAAAAATTAATTAAATTCTGAATATTTCCATTGTAGAATCTTTTTAAACACCAAAAATTAATTAGAAATGATTTTTATTTAAGCGATCTATTACGATAAAAATGTAAAAAAAATCGAACTTTTCTGATAAATGTACTGTAAATAGTAATTATAAAATTTCCTGATTGCATATTAATCTTAACAATTTCATTTTATCTATTTAATAATGTCAATTTCAAACTTGCAAGTTGAGCTAAAAGTTATGGTAATAAATTCATTTTTTTTTTTTATTAAAACTTTAACTTTAAAGGACAAAAAATATTAGATTCAAAATGATTACTTTTAACATATTAAAAATCAAAATCAATAATAATTTGGAAACAATTAATATTAAAAATTATATAATATATAATTAAAAGAATTACTAATCTGGGTATAATTAGGGAAATAGAAGTTGATGTTGCTTTTGTAATTATCCATCAATTTCTTAGAATTAAACACTATCTACAGATTTGCATCAAAGTGTTTCTTATGATAGTGATTTTAATCACTGTCAGATTAAATCCATACTGAACCCAACTATGAAACGTCCCCATTATCCCGCGACCCCACTGTGCTGGGTTTTTTTTTTTTTAAACATCTTCAAGGCAACTAAACGTGCCTCTCAATTATAATTATAGATACCTATAAAAAATAAATATTTTAAGAGCAAAAAATTAAGATCTTTTGCTAAGAATTTTATCATAACTAATCTAGACGTAATAGATAAATATAAACAAATTTAATTTTTGTAAAATTAAAAAAAAATGATAAACAATTAAATATCAACAGCTAACTATGATTCATAATTTAATAAGATTAAGTTTTGTTAGATTATATATTTATTTAGACATCAATAAATAAAAAACATACTGAAAAAAAAATATTTTGAATTTTTGAGTAATACTTATACTCAAATATGTTATTATTCAAGCTTCATCATGAAATGGATAGTCTTTTAAATGTGATGCACTAGAAATAAGAACATGTTTCTTAAAAAATATGAAGTAATTATTTGAATAGCAAAACTTACGTTTCGAATTTATAGTAGCGGATGTTTCTGTCTAATGATTCGAGTAATTCTATTTCATCCTTACTTAATTCAAAATCCCATACATCAAAGTTGAGTTTTTGTCTTTCTGGATTTCCTGATTTAGGGATAACTAAGAGACCTCTTTGAATCTAAATAGTATGAAAAATATTAATAAAAATTTACTTAAAATTAAGAAAGATTTACTTGAAATTTGATTAATATTTGAGCTTTCTTTTTATTATGATTAGCTGCGATTTCAGCTACCACAGGTTCATTGAGAACTACATGTTCATCAGAAGCTGCCCATGATCTATGTGGTGATCCTAATGGTCCATAAGCTATCAAATATATACAATGACTGTCACAAAATTCTTTAAGTTTTCTTTGTATTAGATAAGGATGACTTTCAACCTGAATAAATTTTATTTATCAAAATAAAGATAAAAATATATAAAATTCAATATATTAATTAAATTCAATAATTAATACAATACTAAATAGTAGGATTCGTCAAGATATATTTTTGAACATCAATATAGTAGTAAATTTTTAGTGATATTATATTACAATAGCAAAAAAAAGTTGTTTCCAATATTGAAATACATCAATATTGTATGAAAAATAAATCTATATTCAAATAAATATTTAAATTTGTAATATTTAAATACTTTTATCAATTTTTATATTGTTAAGAATACTTTATAGTACTATGGTTGTATAGATCAGCCCATAGTATACCAACTAAATATAATGAAATTATCACCAAAAAATATAGATAATAGCTATACTCTGATAACTATTTAATATATTAATAAAATATTTCCAAATTACTTTTTGTTATTAAGAAGTAATTTTTTTTCTATTACGAGGCTTTTACATTATTATTTGGTTATATTAAATTGATGAAATAAAATATTAGTATTATAGTTTCAGTGTTTTGGTTTTAAATAATAATAATAAAACAAAAAATATTAGAAGTGGTGTTTGTATTTTTTATTATTTTTTATAACTAAAAACAATTTTCCTTTTTTTCACAAATAAAATTTAAACTTTTAAAATAATACAATAGATAAAACACCATCTTATTTTTCACTATCATCTAATAAAGATTTAATTTTTTTTGGACTCAATAATTTTATTTTATTTTTAGATTGAGTTTCAACCAGTTGTTGCTGTATATCTTCCAATTCTGAATTTCTTTCTCTAATTCTCTCCACACCACCTTACTTTATTCATTTTTAGTTAAAATTATGAATAAAAAAAAATCTCAAAATAATAAAAACTCAATCTGAGAATAGAATTTTGTATCAATAAATATAATTTTTCATCTTATTTGAATTTTATATATCGTAATATATTTTAATACAAAAAATGTCAACAAGATTATCAGAAACACTTTTTGGCCTAATATTAAATAATATATATTTTAAAATAAATATTGGAATGTGACTAAAATTCAAAGTTTATTTTTTTTATCTCAAAAATAATCAATATTGTACAAAATTCAACGATGTTGGTATCGAATCAAAACATTGATTTTATAGACAAACCCTACTGAATAGCGACCATAAGAGTTATAAATTATTATAAAACAATTTTAAAACAATACTTATGTATTGAAGAGTAGAAATAGCCTTTTCAAAAACATTTTTGATCTTACATGTTTTTTAATAACTATTTCAAAAACTCCCTAACTAATTTCTTTAAAGAGAATTGTAAGTTACATAATAGCACAATACTATACTTCTTATTCAGTCTAAAAGTTCAAAATATTTTTGAAATGGTAATAAAAAATATAAAATATATTTCATAAAAAATAAACATTTTGAGAGGAGTAATAGTTACATTAAATTTTAAGAACACATCCCATCACATGTTACTAAAAGACTAACAGAAAAATCAAAGATATTAACCTGATTAACAACTGGTTTGATAGAGGCGATTTCCAATATATCTTTTATTTGTTTAATATTAAAATTTGATAATCCAATAGACTTCACCAATCCTTTTGTTACACATTGTTCCATTGCCTTCCATGTATCTGTATAAGAAATATCAGATCCAAGTAAGCGACCTTCGCTATCAGTAGCATTAGGATTTTCCTGAAAAAGAAGATAATAATTTATTTTTCTTACTTTTATTAAATGTTCCTATGAAAAAATAATAAATCTATACCACCACATCAAAAACAATTTAATTTACAGAGTTAATTATTTTAATATGCTAAACACTAACACTTCTTAAAAAGAAAAATTACCTCCTATAATATATTTCAGAAATGATAAAAATAAATCTTTTCATAGAAATTCAAACAAAAAATTAAATAAATTTTTACTTTAAAGTTATATTGAAATTTAAATAATAAGATTGCTTATAATACTTACACTAACTGCAAAAGGCCAATGAATAAGATAAAGGTCTATATAACTTAAACCTAAATCATTTAATGTATTCTTCAATGTAACTTCAACTAATTCAGGCCTATGTTGGTCGTTCCAAAGCTAAAATCACATAAGCAAATAAACCATTATCAAAGAGTCAAATAATTAATAACATTATCATGTTATTATCAAAGAGGATTGTCTTGAGATAAATCATTCAAGAGACAATTAAAAGGCTTTTACAATAACATTTTTCTGAGTGGTGAATTTCCTATAGAATAGACTTAAAAACCTCATTATGACAAATTTTGTTTTAATAACTAATATATACATGGCCTTTTCATTTGACATACTTTTTTTAAAAATCTGTCAATTTTTACTTAAACATAGGGTTTAAAATTCGAAACGTAGGTATAAAGAATTTTATCAACATAACTTTTGAAAATGTTCCAATAATCTTGAGTTCTTTAAAAAATAATTTTATTAAAAATTAATAATATACTAAAAGTTCAAAAAAAAATGTGTACCAACGACTTTTTTTTTAAATATGTTACAGTCTAGAAGTTAAGCAAAATATGTTAATTTTATGTAAAAAATCATTTTTTAAGTTTCATAACTGAAATTATAATTAACTAACATAGGTAAAAATAATCAACTTTTTTTTATGATTCATTTGCATAAACAATACTTAATTATTAAATATCAAATGTATGCTAAAAAAAAAATAATTTTTCAAGTAATTTATTTATCTAGAGAAAGTTTATAACTGTAATATATTTTTAAAAATGTGAGTTGTTCATGCTATACTTGACAAAATAAAAAAATTAATTAATCAAGGTTACTTATAAATAAACTACTTTAATCTTAAATTACCTTGCTAGTAATAAAAATATCATCTCTTTTGATAATTCCTTCTTCAATTTTTTCTGCTATAGCTTTTCCAACTTCTTTCTCAATATTATAGTAGTAGGCACAATCAAAATGACGATAACCAATATCAATAGCACTCTTGATAGCCTGGCAAACTGAGTTTTTGGCATTCTCATCTAAATCTCGAGATGCCTATTAAAAGAACAAAAACGATTAGAATATTATTTTTCAACTAAGGTATTTAATAAATACCTGCCACGTGCCCAAACCTAAAGTTGGATATAATTGTCCATTATTAAATTTCACCATTTTTGATTCAGCCATATTTTTTTAATTTCAGCAAGAATAAGTATATAAAAATATTTGATTAACTATACTAGAAACTTCAATAAGCAATATCTTTAAATAAGGTAATTATTATTTCCTGTTACATAAGAATAATAATTATTTCCTGTTACATAAGAATGATAATCTAAAGGATATCACTTGATCTTAGTAATTTAGTGGATGGTTGGTAGTGATAACAATTATAATTGATAACATGCACAGAATTATAATAAAACGTTTTATTATAAATCTGTCACCAGGTGTATGATCTGGATTCTACTTATAAAAATAATAATACTTCATTAACGCCAATAGTGCAAAATAGAGTATCAAAATGATGATTATAATTAGCTATAAGACTTAATACATAAACATAGATATAAATTAGTACAAAAAAAAATATATTTAAAACTTTTTAAAATTTATAAATTAACATAATATAATTGAACTCTGAAACATAATGATCAAAGAATAAATTCACTATTATAATTAAAATAAAAATTAACTTTATTATAGCTCGTAAAATACGTCATCAATGCCATTAAAAACCGTGAGACATTGAGTGAAACAATTCATTTTTTGTAACTGACGATCCAGAGAAAAATGAAACATATTATTTCAAGAAATTCCGGATTATCTACTTTATTGTTTTAAAGATTATAAATAAATAATAAATCATTAAATTAGTACTGTAAAAATATAATGATATGAAACTTATAATTCCCAGAGTAATATTTCAAGACTTTATATTTAAACTTTAAGTTAATTATCTTAATGTTTAAATAAACGTCACTAATAAATGACGGATCGGGGGTTTTACTTGACAATCGAATAATAGGCTAAAAACAATTTATTTTATTTTTTACTAATGACACGATTCTTTTAATCATATACAAATCAAATAATTACATATAATAACAACATTAACATAAATAAAGCAGTAACATCACCCAGCCACTTGACACTTCTTCCGCCGCGTGACATCGCAATGCTTTGAGATCTCCACAACAAATACCTCTTGGCCGACGTTAACAATTCTGAATGCCACGATAAATTTTACAGTGACAAGACGCACTAACTCGACGGACCACAAAAAAGGAAACACCACCGGTGTGTGGACGCTAAGGACACCAACTCCAAATATGGATTGAGTCTTTAGTAACCGTACGTTGGGGCTTCACCTATACACAAACCCAACAAAAGAAAACTATGTCAGCTCACTGGCTACAAGTCATTGGACTCAACGGTTCGATATAACGTCAACCGCGGACATAAACGTAATGACAGCAAGGTGCCGGTAGTGCCGGACACGATTGTTATCATTACAATGAGAGGGGTAATGCGATTTCAAGCTACGTGGAGCTTGACTGGGCTACACACATATAACTTTTGAACAAGCATAGTTNTGGGCTACACACATATAACTTTTGAACAAGCATAGTTGTAAATTGCATGTGTTAACATCCGTTAATGTTTCATTTGAAATCAGTATTAACAAAACTATAATACAAATAACAACTATTTCCTATTTCATATTCCATAGACAACAATAATATAAAAATATAACTGATAAAAATGGACACTTAACATTATTAAATTTAATAATTGTCACTGACCACTACAGAACTAAAAAAATAGTAATGAAATGATCTGAATATACAACACGTGTATTATTGATGCCTCACTTTGTGATACATTTATATTTAAGACCAACTAATTATTGTTTCATCAAACCTTCAAATCCAATAAAGCATTTCTTTATTGTAAATATTGTTCAGTTACTGAACTTCAGTAACATTATTAGTTAATATTTTAAAAATAATATATTAAATTAAAGAACGTTACAATAGTTGTGAATATTTAGTAAATAAAATTATCATAAGTATTTTGTTTGAAATTAAAATAAATGATTTAGTTTTTCATTTGTTGGACTATGTCTCTTTGGCGTCTTTAATAATTTTACCATACAGGATAATTCAATAAAATTTATTTTATTTTTATATAAGCTAATTCTAAAATTACTTACAAATTCAATATACTACTATACTTTAAAAGTTATAAAAAGTATAATATGCAAAGTATTTACTTTTGAGTTAAACATGTAAAAAAATTATTAACAAGAAAGAGACAAGAGAGGCAGAAATGACCAGTTTTCTTGTTGCTAAGAAAATGATAATGTCTCAGAAGGAGCATTTATAAAAATGGTAATATTTGTCAATAATTTGCGGGAATGGCACACAAATCACAATTAAAATCGCGTGTATTATATATTTTGGTTAGTGGTTAGCGGCACGTTTAGTTATTTCGCCATTAGCTCACTAAATGAATTCACGCTAGTCTCAATAAAGTCATCATAGATCATGATTATATTTAAAATGTTATTATTTTATTAATTTACTAATTAAAGGTTAAATTATTATACAAAATTATAACTGTATATCAAAACTCTTTTATTTTGAACTTTGATCTGTCCTAGTACTTATAAAAAAATACTGAGTTACTTATAGAAAGCTGAACTTTCCTAGCGCTTGTGGGTCGCTTGAATCTGCCGTGAATTAATATAATGATACTCGGGCGGAATCTAGATTGAATACTTTAATACTTATATGGCACAATTTTTTTTATTTGTTTTTAACAGACTCCAAAAAAAATATGAGATTATGAATTCGGTTGTATATTTTATATTTGTTACCTCAGAACTCAGTCTTTTATAAACTGATTTCGAAAATATTTTTTTTTTATTTAAAAGGACGTGCTTTTAAATTAGTTCCATAGATATATTATCAAAATTGGTTCAGTAGTTTTTAAATCAAAATAATTAAAAAAAAACGATAGCACAGTGGAATCGCCGCACAGTATGGAAGTGACATAGTTGGGACAAGTATAGATGATATCTGACAATGATTAAAATCACTATCATAAGAAATGCTTCGATGCAAATCTGTAGATGGTGTTTAATATTAAGAAATAGGTAGATTTTTTCAAAAGCAAAAATACTCTTATTCCCTTAATTTTATCCCTTTTAGTTATTTGATTTATTATTTTAATATACGAATAAATAACAATTATATTAATTAAATTTAGTATGAAATTGATATTCAATAAATTAATATTGAATTTTTACGG